CCAGTTGAGAGTTGTTCCCGGAAGAACACTCTAAGTTATTCCCGGAGGAAAACTTTCGCCTTGGTCTTTATGGGGGGGACGATCCCAGTTGAGAGTTGTTCCCGGAAGAACACTCTAAGTTATTCCCGGAGGAAAACTTTCGCCTTGGTCTTTATGGGGGGGACGATCCCAGTTGAGAGTTGTTCCCGGAAGAACACTCTAAGTTATTCCCGGAGGAAAACTTTCGCCTTGGTCTTTATGGGGCGGACGGTCCCAGTTGAGAGTTGTTCTCGGAAGAACACTCTAAGTTATTCCCGGAGGAAAACTTTCGCCTTGGTCTTTGTGGGGCGGACGGTCCCAGTTGATAGTTGTTCCCGGAAGAACACTCTAAGTTATTCCCGGTGGGAGACCCTTTGCCAACTTAATCTTTGCAGAATGAAATTACTGTTGTATGAGAAATATCCTGTCATTCATTCATATGAAATAACTGTTCATGTCATCAACATATTGAATTTAGCTAAAATAAAATTTTAGGTGCGTGGCGTTCCAAGTGTTGGGGATGGGGCGTCCGTCCATCCGTTCCAATCTGTACGCCCCGTTTCCTAGGGCCTCCATTATTCGAAACGGCCCTTCCCATTTGGCGGCAAACTTTCCATGCGCTGGGTTTCGACGGGCGTCACCCGCTTTTCTCCACACCAGGTCCCCTGGCAGGAAGCTCCTTGGCCGGACTTTAGAGTTGTATTTTCTTTCAACCATGCGCTTGCATGCTTCGGCCCTTAATACCGCTCGGTCTCGCCGTTCATCCAGAGAATCTAGTTCGATTCTCAATTCTTGGTCGTTGAGGTGTAGGTCTTCAACCTGTCGCCTTAACGATGGTTCGCCCAGCTCGACTGGCAACATAGCATCAGTACCATAAGTTAAGTTAAAGGGGGTTTCGCCTGTGGTCCCGTGAGGCGTGCATCTATACGCCTAGAGGACTTCGGGTAACTCGTCCACCCACGCTCCCTTCCTTTCTCCTAAACGTCGCTTAAGCTCCGAGACTATGGTCTTATTCATCGCTTCTGTTTGCCCGTTCGTCTGGGGGTGCTCTACTGAGCTGGTAACGTGCTTAATCCCCAATCCCTTGAAGAATTCGGCGAGTTTCTTGTCGATAAACTGCCGACCGTTATCCGTAATGATAGATCGAGGGAGGCCAAAACGACATATCATCTTCTAGCAGAACTTCTGGACCTGGGCGGCCGTGATGGTTGCCAGGGGCTCGGCCTCTACCCATTTGGTGAAGTAATCCACCGCCACCAGGAGGAACTTCTTCTGAGCCCGCCCTACTGGGAACGGTCCTACGATGTCCATACCCCATTGGGCGAACGGCCAGGGGGATGAGATTGAATGTAATGCGTGCGGCGGTAGGTGGGAGTTGTTGGAATGCTCTTGGCAACGGATGCATTTTTGGACGAACGCCCTGACGTCTGCTTCCATGGTAGGCCAGTAATATCCGGCCCTCAGTAGCCGGGCTTTTAGCGTCTGCCAACCTGTATGAAGGCCGCAAATGCCATTGTGGAGCTCGTCCATAACGTAATGTGCTTCTGCCTCTCCCAAGCATTTAAGAAGGGGGGAGGAGAATCGTCTTCGATACAAGTCGTCCCCCACCACAAGATACCGAGCGACCTTCTTGGCTTCGCTCGGTCGTACCGTCCGTCCTTCGTCCTGGCGGGTCATGACTTCTCTGATTTCCGTGCGCCAATCTTTCCCTTCGCCGGACACCGCCGAACACTCCACTGAAGGCTGAAGTAGAACTTGCCGCACGACAGTAGTTAATTGTCCCTTTTCTTTTTCAGAACTGAGCTTAGACAGTATGTCAGCCCTCGTGTTCTGTTCCCTGGGGATGTGTTGTATGTCAACCTTATCGAACGCTTTTGCGAGCTCCGTTGCTCGTTGGTAATACCGCAATAGACGCTCCTCCCGGACTTGGAAGTTGCCATTCATTTGGCCTACTAGTAGCTCTGAGTCTGTCCGGCAGGTTATCTTCCTTGCCCCCATGTCTTTCCCCAGCTCGAGGCCGGCCACTAGGGCCTCATACTCGGCCTGATTGTTGGATACTTTGAAATTGAAGATCAGGGAGTGTTCTAGTAAGAATCCATTGGGGCCTTCGAGGACGATGCCGGCTCCGCTAATCGATCGACCGGACGCTCCATCCACATACAAGTTCCACTCGTCCTGGCCGGACGGTGGTAGCTCGGCCGCGAAATCCGCTAAGTGTTGGCCTTTGACCGACCCTCTCGGCTCATATCGTAAGCCGAATTCTGAGAGTTCTACCGCCCATGCCACCATCCGCCCGGCTAAGTCCGGCTTTCTGAGGATCTTGGAGATAGGGAAGTCGGTCCTGACTATGACCTGGTGACTTTGGAAGTAAGGGCGGAGCCTTCGAGACGCGTTTAACAAGGCCAACGCCACCTTTTCTACTCGTTGATAACGGGTTTCGGCGTCTAGGAGCGTTCGACTCACAAAGTAAATTAGCCTCGCCTGAGGCTGTTCCTGCATCAACACGGCACTAATGGCCGTCTCTGATACCCCCAGAAAAATGTGTAAGTCTCCTCCTGCTACCGGGCGGTTCACGACCGGCGGGTTGACAAGGATGGTTTTTACATCCTGAAACGCTCGTTCGCACTCGTCGTCCCATACCGGGCCGGCTCCTTTCTTCAGTTTCCACAGGACCGGTCTCATTCTTTCCGCCAGCTTGGGGATAAATCGCGACAAGGCAGTGAGGCGTCCGACCAGTCTTTGGATTTCCTTAAGGGTGGCCGGACTTTGCATTTGCAGTATCGCGTCACACCTGTCCGGGTTAGCCTCAATCCCCCTGGATGTCAACATGAAGCCCAAGAACTTTCCGGCAGCTACCCCAAATGTACACTTGGCGGGGTTTAAGCGCATGCCGAATTTCCTTACTTGGCGAAACACCTCTTCAAGGTCCTTAATGTGTTCCTCTCCATCCGAGGACCGGACTACCATGTCATCCACATACACGTCCATGCACTGGCCTATCTGTTCCCGGAAGATCCTGTCCATCAGGCGTTGGTATGTCGCCCCCGCGTTCTTCAGGCCAAATGGCATTACTTCATAACAGAAGTTAGCTTTTTCCGTGATGAACGCCGTTTTTTCGACGTCCGGCCCATACATTGGTATTTGGTTATACCCGGAGTAAGCATCCAAGAAACTTAAAACTCGATGCCCGGATGCGCCGTCAACCAGGGCGTCTATGCTGGGTAAGGGGTGAGAGTCTTTGGGGCAAGCTTTGTTCAAGTCCGTGTAATCAGTGCACATGCGCCACTTCCCACTTGCTTTTTTCACCATTACTACGTTAGCCAACCACGTAGTATATGTGACCTCTCGGACAAACCCAGCTTCCTTCAATTTCCTCACTTCCTCTTGAACGACCTCTCGTTTTTCTTCGCCCATCCTCCGCTTCTTCTGTGCGACCGGGCGGGCGTCTTTGAAGAGTGAGAGTTTGTGGCACATGACCGCGGGATGGATCCCCGGCATGTCGGCCGCCGTCCAGGCAAATAAATCTCTATTTTTCCATAGGATTGCCCTCAACTCCTTCTCCAAGCCAGGATTCATTTCTCTGGCGATGACGGTCGTCTGGGTAGGATCCCTACCTATTAAAACAGGTTGGGTGTCTCCCATCGGTTCGAGGCGGTCCTCCGTGTTCGTCCTGGGATCGAGATCCGCCATGGCTACCTCCGAACCGACCGCCCTCCGCTTCGATTGCCGGGTGTGCAACTTCAATCCCGCGGCATAGCACTCTCGGGCCGTCTTTTGATTCGCCCGAACAGTGCATATAGCCCCCTTCTCGGAGGGATACTTCATCGTGAGGTGGGGCGTCAAGACAATTGCTTCGAACGCGTTCAAGCATGGCCGTCCGAGTAATGCATTGTACGAGGTGTTAGCCTCGACCAGCAGATATCGAACCCTTTTCTCCTCACTGGAACGGCCGGTTCCCAACCTCGTCCTCAACTCCAAATATCCTCTGGTATCAACCCTTTCTCCTGCAAACCCCACTATTTGCCCGTCATACGGGACGATAAGGTCCTCCGAGATGTCCATTTGCAGGAAAGTCTTCTAGTAAAGGAGGTTGACCGAACTTCCCTGGTCGACCAGGACTTTGCTGATTCCGTACCGCGCTATCTCGGCGGTTATGACCATCGGATCGTCCTGATCGGGATCAGGTGCGTGGAAATCTTCGTCCGAGAAAGTGATAGGCGGCATGGTGCGGCGTGGCTGGTCTACCAAATGTACCGATTGGAGGGCTCGTATACGGCGCTTACGAGCCGAAGAGGAAGATCCTCCCCCCGCGAACCCTCCAGAAATTGTGTTGATGTGTCCCCGCAGGGGGCGTTCTCGACTTCGGCTGCGGCTGCGGCTGGGCCGCCGCTCTGAGCGAGGTCGCTCAGCCCTTGAATTCCTCGGCCTGTCCGAACGGTAAGCCGATCGTTGGGCAGGTCGGTCGGCCGGTAGTGGAGGGCGCTCATCGCGGATGTACCTTTTCAGCTTTCCCGCCCGGATGAGCTCCTCTATTTTATCCTTAAGGGCCGCGCATTCCTCAGTGGTGTGACCCATATTCTTGTGATAAGCGCAGTGCTTGCTTCCGTCTGCTCCCTTCGGAGTTGGACACCTTTCCGGCTCCCGGATCAGGTCCGCGCTAAGCGCCTCCCTCAAGATCTTCTCCCTGGGGGTGTTCAGGGGAGTGTACTGCTGGAAGCGAGGTCCCTTTTTCTGTTCATTGCGCCTAGGGCCGGACGGTCTTCCCGCCGAGGTAGCAGGCTTACCACCGTCCGTTCTTTCTCCCCTAGCCTCCTGGTTCTCCCTCTTGTACGAGAGCTTCATCTCCTCCACCCTTATTTCGTTTGCCGCTCGCTCTCTCAGCTCCTCCATCGTCTTGGGCGCTCGCCTGCAAACACTATCCTTAAACGGCCCTTGTTTGAGAGCCGGTAAGATATAGTGGAGGGCTAGCTCTGGCGTCAGACTTTTCACGCGCCGGACGGTTTTTTGGTACCTATCCATAAACGTCCGCAGTGTTTCATCCTTCCCTTGCTTGAGGGTCATTAATTCGAAGACAGTCAAGTCTTGGGCACTACTTGCTGCGAATTGTTTGACGAATAGCTGTTTCAACCCAGCAAAGTTGTCTATGGAATTAGGAGGGAGGGCGTTGAACCATTCCAATGCTTCGTCCTCCATCGAAAGTGAGAACGCTCGGCACCAAATGGTGTCATTGCCTGTTCTGAATGCCATTGCATTTGAGAACGTCTTTATATGGGACTCGGGGTCCGTCGTCCCATTATACATCTTGAATTGTGGAGCCACAAATTGTTCCGAAATTTGGACGTTCATTATGTTTTGGGTGAATGGAAGTAATAAAGTGGACGGGGGTTCCGACTTTACTATCATCCGTCCGTCCTCGGCGGCGCTCTCTGCATGCACCGATTTAACTTTACTTCCCTCCGCCTCGGACCCGGTAGGCCTCCAGGTGCTATCACGCTCGGTGTCTTGGGGCGTACGTTCTTCCGCCGTCGCCTTTCCTTTATCCTTCGCTCGCTCCTCTCCTCCATCCGCCCTTCCAACCTCCCGGGCTATCCGGGCTTCACAATTCGTCCTCGTGACGTTGTTGCATTTCATCCATTTTTTGCTGTAGGGCTCGGATCATCTCAACGGGGTCGTCCATGCTCATGTTTCTCGTGGTCACCATTGGGTTTTTAAAATCACACGGCCCCACGGTGGGCGCCAAATGTTTCGGATGTGCAGGACTGTGTTGCTCCAAGTCTCCAAATTCTCCTGTGGTCTTGTTTCGATGTCGGGTCCTCTCCTCAAGGCTTAGCTCTCTTCTTGTTCCTGAGGGGTGGAGACCTGCAAAAGACTCTCCGATGCCAAAGTCAGTTTCAGAGCAATGGCTTTTCTCAGGGATGGCAATAAATATGCATTCAATGTAACCTATCTAGCATTCACCGTGGACCTGTATTTATAGTTTTTGCTATGGGCTTGGGATTAGTGAAAAGTTAATCACGGCCCAAAATAGCCCAATAGCTTCTAAAATCTACTTACCTCCAAACCAGATTAATTTACCTAAACCACAACGATTAGTGATTTGGCCGGTCAATGAGGTACGGGCGTCCGCCCACGTGATATGGGCGTCCGCCTTACCCCATTCGATCCTTCACATTTATTTAAGAGGTAATCTTCCAAGCCTCTAATATCGGGGAAGGCGGACGGTCGTTGGCCCTTTGGGTGACTCGGGGCACTAAACTGGGCGGACGGGTCTCCTCTACGTATTTTTTTTAGGAATTTTTCTCGCCGACCCCTCCCTCCACAATGAACCTCTATCATTCATCGCAAATACATCTTGCAGTAGCATCCCAGCCTTGCTTCTTTGTTCAGCAGCTCCCGCACCCTCCCCTGCCACACCAACTCGCATTGCCCCCACCGGCCATGGCGTCGTACAGGACAACCCAACAGCATTCCCACTATCACTTCTGCTCTAGCCCCTAACAATTTCCTGCCCCATTCCCCTTCTTCATCAATCTCCAAGTCCCCCTCCCGACCCCGTAACATCAGTACCTCCTTCGGGTTGTTGCATACCCTTCTATCAGCGTAACCTGCCCTCCCACGTCGGCGCCTCAACCTTTCCCCAAATCCCCCAAAACAGAGCTTCAAGGAGACAACGTACTCATTCTTCCCGTCCCAACGTCCCACTCCCCTTGCTTTTCCCGTTTGTTTGCAGCGCCATCGATATTTGCTTCATGTTCGCGGAAGCACGATGAGCATCGCCTCTCCCAAACCAATCATTTCACTCACTCATCTCCACTACGACCTTCCCCACCCCCATCAGTTCTCCCCCAAACTCTCATTCACGACGCGCCCCCCAACCTGGGCTTCTTTTAGTGTTGGGAGGACGGCGCGAATGTTCCCTTTGCCCCCTGTGATTCCCGCCCCACACTCCGCCACCCGGGGCGCGCCGAGGCGGGAGGGGCGCGAGAGGGGGAGAGCATCGAAAGGTTCGGAGCGGCCCAATTCGAAGTCCTTGCCCCGGGCACGGTGGTCGTGACCATGGCTGCTTTCGTGCCGAGCGCGGCCTTCAGCGATGCGATTTGCGAGGAAGGGAACTTTCTAGAAGCTCTTCGCATAAAGAGGCCGCTGTGCATGTTGTGCTGCGGTTTTGGAAAAAAAAAGGCACAGTAAGTGGTGGGCATCGCCGATATAGCGCTCGACCGCCACGGAGGAAGACGGCAGCAGGCAGGTGACGCCGGGCGACCGTGCGCAATGTTTTGGCGAATAGAAGGGTCGCAGCGTTAGAGACGTCGTTGACGGTTTGCACTTGCGTGAATCGAGGAGCTTGTCGCGGCAGACTTAGCAGTCCGCGTTTGTCCGTGAAGTTGCGCGCAGACCGAACGCAGTGAAGCGTGCAAACGCGCCCCCGGCATCTTCCCTCCCGGTTTTCAGGGGTAGTCGGTCTAAAAAATGACCCGTGTAACCTGTTTGGAGTCTCTCAGGGGCCCAAAATGTTATCTTATGTATGCTATTGCCACAACGATCTTTTCTATACTTGATCCATTTTAGCACAGTATAAACCCCGTTAGTATCAAAGCATTTTACCCTCGTGGTTGTGTTGATGAGATGTCTCACACTTTCTCTTCACAGACCTGCACTCAAAGCCCCCTCTACAAAAATTCGGATTGTCAACTTTTCTCGTTTTGCTACTCGATTATGCACTTCGGTACTCGCTATGCATTAAATGACGTACCCACGACACACCATCGCCCAAGCACTCCAATGACTAGTCGTGCTAATCGATTATGTAGTCATAGTCCATTATTAATTGTTGGTACTCGATTCTTCATTAGCCCAGTTTAAGCTTTTAGCAATTGATTTGAAACTTACTTTGTATAAGTTGATATCTAGTAGCTAATCCAAACTATTTCAAACCTACATATCTGGAAACACAAAAACTACCTAAAGTCCGATACCAAAATTCTACTTTTCAAACGCTTTTCACCGTCACTATAAGGCTTTAGACTTGCTTTTGCAATTGTGATTATTGAGATTTGATTAGGCATATCAAACACTTTATGCTTTCATTATTTTCCTACCACTGTCCTCCTTTTATGAGCTCAAAAACTCCTTGCTATTCAGCCTTCTAATAACTTGGATTCTAAACAACTTAAGGAACGAGAGGAGTTAGTGGACTTAGAAAACTTAAATCAGCTTTTTAAACAATTTGTCTCCCGTTTTTTATCATTATAAAAAAGAGTTGTGTCACACACATATCCCCGTAAATATAGCCCTAACCAAATATAAAGTTCCCGACTACTTTTTAGTAACGGTACAACAGCAAGCATCCTCCCCCCCGCTTCTAGTACCAGCATTCCAACTCCTCCCTCCCTTGACCATCCATAGGGCTTGATGTACTCTTCTACGACTGGCCCTCCTAATATCTGATTCTACCAGAGTGCATACGTCTTCAGGCTCGAGCTGGCAGAGTGGCACGTTCCAGTAGGCCATAGTCCCTTTAAGCCTAAATGAGGAGCCTATAGGAAGCAAGCTAGATGGTCTGCATGTTAGGGGGATCTACATGGGTGGTGCTGACCACTACTTAGCTAGAACAAGCCAAATTAGTCACAACCCGGCCATGTCACGGTGGAGCTCCCATTGTGGGGTGATTTACAGCCGGTGTGGTGGTGATGGTTGTAGCTCCGATTTTGGTGTTTGCACGGTTGCCGGGGATGCAGTGGTTTCGGGGGCTCTAAGAGAGATTGAGCCTTCCGTTGCTAGCGGCGGGCCCCTTGCGTTGCTCTAGCCTAGGGTGCCCCTTTATAAGCGTTTGTGTGCACACAAAACGCAGCATTTCACCTTTACTCTATTTTTCAAAGGTCATTCTATGATGGAGAGCCCCTCTCTTTTATAGGCTAAGGCGTCTCAAAATGGGCACCAACTGAAACCTCAAGACCACCTGGTGGTTGGGAGCAAGGCGCAAATCCTCTCCACTAGAAGGAAATGCGTGGCCACAATCTTATCCCATGAGAGAGGACATGGGGGCATTCCCTATGGAAAAACTTTACATTCTAGAGTGACACATGGCCCATAACTACGGGGAAACCTCTCCAGGGAAGCCTCAGGCCGTGAACGAAAATGAGCTTCCTGTTTATAAGTTAGCCAAAAAAGGTGGACCCCTTGGTCCCCCTCCCTTTTTTTGGGCTGTCCCATTCATACGTCAACTTTGGGCCTTAGCCTTGGTGACTTGTTTGTCACAACATCCGTTTACGTGGCCTAAAATACAAGACTCAATTGATACTCTTACGTATAGGCCTCTCATACAAAACACCTCCATCCACTTCGAGTACTTGGCATTACTACAATGGCCACAGAAAGTCTAGAACTACGTGGCCAACATAACGGCCCCAAAATTTCTAACTCTACTATAATTTTCCTGATGGCTTTAGCGGGACCGAAGAGAAAAAGTCTAAGGCCCATCTTTCCTAATGCCTCCACTCTATCAGGGGGATGCATTAGTGGTCTATCTTCTTTCATGCTTTCCACTCTCCTCCCCCCATGGTATACATCTTACCCTCATGCGAAACATCCCATTGGCCTTAACGAAGTACCCCCCCTTTAAATTCATCTGATGCTCTTAAGGGGTTCTCCCGATGTATCAACTCTTCTATTCAAAAAAAATCCTTGATACCAAAAGAGCCTAGGGAGAAGGATATTGCGGATCCATCTTGTTCCCCCTGGTGTCCTTGTACAAACATAGGTACTCACCCACGTCGACTCTTTTTGGTTTTTTAAGACATATTCGCAATTCGGTCCTACCGTGAGCAGTCATTTTGAGTCCGAACACCTACCGTTGACATTCAGCTTCTTATCCCGTTTCACTCTATAGCGGTTTGGCGGTCTACTATATGAATAATGTTCTATTTTAACGGGAAGATTGGCCTCCACTGTAAAGGGACGGCTGTAAATAGTTGACGTCCTGGACCCCCAAGATGTCGGCTGCAATAGTTGAGTCTTCTTCGGTCCGATGCGACTTTGTTTTGTTTTTAGCCCAGTCGGCTATAAAGGCTGCGTTTACTCTTTGCGCCATATTTCTATTTACCCCGCCACTTTGGCATCCATTGGATGGAATGACGTTAAAACTGAATCCTTGGCCGCCGCAGTTCGCGACCGAGTCATGTTTTTTTGCTATCCCCGTCCGCGCCGAGAAGGCAGCTCCCTTGACATCCTCTTTTATTTACTGTGAAATTTTGATTCTGTTGTATGTTTACCGTCGAAGGGTTTTCTACTTGACGTTTACCATTTTGATCGTACATCCCCTGTATTATACGAATGCACACTTCCTGACCTAGTACGCCCGTTCCGATTCCATATGACCGTCGACTATAGGTTAGTCGACCATGTTTTGTTTTTTTTTTCATTTGGTTAGTTTCGTCATTTTCCAAACCGGCCATATCAGAACCAATTCTCCCCTTCTCGCTTCACCAGCCTTCATTCAGTAAACCGTATCTCATTACTCAATTCCCTTCCCTAGTACCCTCCAAATGTTACAAACGACTGGTCACTTCTCTCAACCCACGGCGGGGTACTGCTGAAGTCTTCCAATTTACCACTTTCCCAACTTTCTTTTCCCC